CAACCTTTGCAATCCAATTGGCAACGCTTTTTAATGCATCTTTTATAGCAATGCATCTTGATTGCATATTTGAGCAATTTCTGACTAAAGCCATTGGTAGGCTTCTTCAATTTCTTCATCACTAGCTTTTGTAGTTGGCACATCCATTTGAATTATTGTATTGATTAGATTTACTCAAAGGACATTATCTTAATTTAGACAGACAGCCTTGCACTTTAAAGTAGACCTTGAAATATCTTTCTCAGTGAATGCAACGCCATTCCTCTTGATTGTCATGTCAGGCATCATAAATCATATGATTTCCTGAATCAAAATGATCCAGTACCAATCTGTTTCAGCTCCAATGCCTATATAAAGCTTTTTTCACTTCCAATCTTCTTAGATTCATAGTTCATGCATTCCATTGATTCGGTGTTTGCAGCTGCTTCTTCTCACGAGTTGAGCCTTCAGCAAACGCAGATGCCGGCGTTTCCACTCCCCCGGCTTTACTCCACTCAGGTCACCATGGTGGACTTCAGTTAGAGAAAGCAGCTCCTCCTCAGCCCGCAGCCACGTTTCGAGTGCCTTCCAGTTTCAGGGGCCATCTCTGACCGCTCTCTTTCCATTCATTAGGCCTTCAGTAGCTGACAGTGTTTCAAAGCTCCACGTAAGGGTTTCAGCAGCTACTTCTTCCAAAGCGGGGAGCTGAGTTCTTCTTCGTTGTCTGTCCTTAGTCTGGAAGCTCCACTGAAACCTGTTCCCTGTGGGTGGCCCTGCTGGCATTTGAAATACCAGTGACATAGCTGCCAGCATCACACAAGTCCCCACAGTAGGACAAGCTGACAGACAACTGGTGGGGCTCAGAGGCGGTCACCTCCAAGCTCACTGCCATCGAGGCCATTGCAATTCATCGTGGTAAAGAAACCGAGTAACTTGGTGTCCGAGGTTCTCACATTCTCACGGTCTGAGAATCTTTGCAAAGGAAAGGACCTTGGGTTTCAGAGGAGAGCAATCACAGGCCTTTTACAACGACTCCCTTTATTTTTTCCGACATCACCCTGTGAGTCTGAGGGAAGGGTATAAAAGAGCTATGCATGTTTGTACTCTTGGAGTCTAAAATTGATTTCATGAAGTTTGAAAATTGGTTGTTTTGTGATCCTGAGTTTTGCCTAAAACAATTTCACCCTGAGACCAGGAAATGATGGCTGAATGTTGAACATTTATTTATGGATGGAGCTCAAGGCCAGGCAGTTTTTTCTGTCCTACACAAGCTCACTATGAGTAGGGATGGTATCGATGGTATCTAACAACAGGGATCCATGAATTCACCTGTTTCCCCTTCGTTTCTAATAAAAGACGAGAACTAAGTCCACCCTGGAGGAGCCCTGGTAGATCCTTTAGTAGGAACTACATCCAGGTGGCCAGTGGGATGATGCAGTCCCAGGGCCCAGTTCAGGGCAGTTTAAGGTCTGAGATGATATCAAGTCAGCTTCTCTTCTGCGTCTTCTATTCTCCCACTTACCAGCAAACCTCTACAAAGCCCCAGGGGTTGAGGCTGAGGCCACAAAGGGAAGTTTAACTGGAACTCATAAGGGACACTCATGCCAGGTCAAACGCTAAAGTGTTTTCATTTACTGTGTTCATTGATTCTCCAGCACCACGACTCGCTGCGATCAAGTTGATGGTGACACATAGCGGCCCTCTAGGACGGGGTAGAACTGCTCCTGTGGGTTTCCCAGACTGAAGCTTCATCAAAGCAGGAGGTCTCATCTTTCTCCCGAGGGGCAGCTGGTTGGTGGGGTCTACTGCTGCACCTGTGGTTAGCAGCCCAACATATAACCACCATGCCACTGGGGCTCCGTCACTGATTTCAGGAGACACATTTTACCATCTCTGTGATTGGGGTGCTTTACACTCACAGTTGCCGCTTTCCCAAGAGCTACGAAACTCAGAGGTGTCAGCGGCTTAAAAATAATCCTGAAGACAGCAGTGGGGTATTCAAGGTGCTACACCTTCCTGTCAAGAGGATGATGATGTGTAGATAGGCATTGAGGCTTGTTTGTCACCATTTGCATAAGAGTGGGACGCTTGATGTTGAAGGCATACTAACCAATTTATCTCAATTGTAATATCCTTAAATTTGTTTAGTGTTTTAAAAATAAATGTTTTGAATTACAAAATTTCACTTATAGCAAATGTGCTGTGTGCAACCATGGACATCCATTCTCCAAACTCCCACCTTGATAAAACTCTATGCTACCTAAATAAATGCCTCCCCACTTTCTTTAGACACTGGACACTCCCCCCTCCCCCACACGCACTTCATAACTACGCGTAAATGCTGATCTCATCTTTGCCTATCTTGGGACTCTTAGCGACACTATCCAAGCGTCAGGTGGGCGTTGGGTTGTTTCTGTCTTTTGCCTGCTGCGAACAGCTGCAGTGAGCACTGGAGTGCATCTGCCAGTCTGCGTAATTGCAAGTCCCATGTGCACATATTGAGTGCAACTGCTGGGCCATCGTAGCTTAACTTTTTGAGCTGACATACAATTTCCCAATGTGACTAGTATTTTGCATAAAAGACTCAAATATATGACTTGTTTAAAATATAAAATGAAGATTTTAACTTAGGTGAAAGTTGTCAGTTTAATTGGCCAAGTTTTCTTCTTTTGCAGTCTTGTAAGAAAAAAGTGCCTCACAATTCATGGTGTTTAGACCTGATGAAATAACAGTAATTTCCTAAAAGCCAGAGGTTAGCTTGCAGGCCACCGAAAGAGCAGTGCTTTAATTATACTGACTGGACAGCAGCGGGTACAGGGCCATCTCCCAGTCTCACCGCTCTGGTTGCATACAGACCCATCAATTCCTCTGACTCTAGAGGCCAAATGAAGGCTGTTGGGAGGGGTCAGATAGGGCACCTTCACGTGAATGCGAGAATGAAACACCAACTAGCTTTGTTTTTGGAATCCCCTTATCCTAAGCAACCCAAACCCAACCTCCTGTTGATTCCAACTCATAGGCACCTTACAGGACACAAGGACTAAAAACTAACGCTAACCAGACTTTTTTTCTACAGCAAAGTTTCCATCATGTGTTTGTTATCTCTCTATAAAGTAGATGAGAATATGTTGTAGCGATGAAAGAAGATTGTTGTAAGAGCTGTAAACCATAATCTGGTGTCAATTTGAGGATTAAGAGTGTAGGGGTGGATTTTAGCCATCAATCAGGATATAGCCAATGAGGCCTCTATGTGGGCATGCCCTTCTGAGAATTCTGGGAACACCTGGATTTCTTCCTTGGAGGCAAGAGACTCTGTAGGCTCACTTCTTTGACTCACTACTGACAAGGCGGACTCCCTGTAAGACATCCCTGAGAAGTTACATGGATCTACCCTGATGCAGCCAGAACCCTGGACGTGGAGAAGCCATGCGGAGAGGCCAGTGCTGAGATGCTTACACCACCACTGGACCTACGACTTCCCACCCTCTGGCCTGTGATCTTCCTGGATTTGGCATCATTGTATGCGTTTCATGAGTCTGAAGAGGGCTTTATAGACTAATGTCGGACTTGATCTGGACTGGGCTGTCTTCTTAGCGCACAGTTGCTCTTGTAGAAAAACCTCTTTCTTATACACTTATCTGTTTATGAATTTCTTTCTCTAATCTACCTGGACTAACACAGAGCCCCCAATAAAATAATCTAATTTTTAAAAAAGATGAAAGAATCAGATACATATTGATAGTCTTGGCATGCTGATGGATTACTACATGAACCATAACTTCTGGTAAATTTAAGTCTTTATTTTCTCTTTAACTCTAGAACTGCTTTTAGCCCATACGATCTCCAGAATCTGACCCTTGGACCCAACCGAGTAAGGCTGTTTCTGCAGTGAGTAGGCCTAGAAACTGCTAGACTCCGATCTACACATGCGTGCTTGTAAATGCAGCTGTTATTAGTACTCAGGAACGTCATCTCTACGATTCCTTTAGCTTAAAAACCTCTGGAAACAGCTCTAGACAAAACAGGTCATGTTTATTAGGCACTTGTTTTTCCAGGTATTGCAATTGCTTTTTTACATGAATCTCCTATCTTCACAAAATTCTGTGGTAGTGTTGGCGGACTGCATTAACTACTGACCCAGGAAGCCTGCTATTAGTCCTCACCACTCCACCAGCAGCCCCAGCTTGTTTTGCCCAAAGTGCCAACATTTCACTGAGTGAGACAACATGCCAAGCCCAAGAGATGCTTCCGAGCTAAGCCAATGATCGCAATCCTTTGCTAATTGGAAACTTCCCAGCTTCCTCTGCATCTAGGATGGGCCACGTGACCAACTCCTAACACTGAGATGTGAAGAGTGATTTGGAGGTTTCAGGAAAATGCTCAACCTAATCTGCACCCCTACCCCCCGCCTCCCTTGTACACACATACACACACAGCCCCGGGCTGTTATTTTGTCAATCCAATCTGTTGCTAGAATGGAAAAAATCTTGCATTTGGGAATCAGGGATCCCAAGAGGCCACATCGCGGTTTTGTTCTGAGGAATGCACGGTGTGTCCCGTAGATGCGGAGCGCCTCCGTTTTCTTCTGTGTAGGGCAGAGAAATGGGGTGAGGGATAAACGAACAGTGGCGGCGGTGGATGCCACTGAGCTGATTTCAATCGGCTCAACTCCGCAGAACAGAAGTGTTGCACAGCGCTTCTGGGCTGTATCCTTCATGGAAGCAGATCCACAGAGCCACCGGTGGGTTCAAACTGCCGATCATTCTTTCCACAGCTCAGTGCTGGACCTCCGAGTCACTGGGGCCCTTAATGGAGCCACAGAGCTGTGCAGCACTGCTGGGCTCTAAAGCAGGTCTCCACAAATGAGGCTTTTATTCTAACTAAATGATGAAAATCTATCCTCGCCAAGATGTGCTTGGTTTAATACTCAGCAGAAACACGGATCGTTGTGAAAGTGATCTCCCTCTCTCCCCCCGCCTTTCAAAACACTAGGTGTTGCAAAGAACCACATCATACATGAGTAGGTGACAAATGCTCTTTGCTTGTTTTATGTCCACGATTGTAAAAATGCAAACACTGCCAATGGCCACTTTGGTAAACACAGTGCTCAAACTCAAGAAGGACTACATTCTCTGGACAGGCTTTAGCCCCAGAATGTCGAAGCCCTTGGCCATGACAGCAGCGGCAGCTTCGCACAGCAGCATCCGCCACATGTTCACCTTCAGCACTTTTCCTGAGAAGAGAGAAAAGAGACAGTGTTAGTTTCTCTGCTCGAAAATCATTAACATCATCCGCTACTCCTGGATATGACTATAGAGTAGCATGGCTCACACAGGTTTTGGGGCTTGAGCTAGGAACACCTTCACTTTGAACTAAAAAGAAAGGTGCAGAAATAAAGGGGCCTCTGTTTAAGCAACTGGGTTTTAACAGCTATTTAAGACAAAGAGGTCTGAGTCTGCAGTATTAAAACTATACATTTTATGTTTCTTTAAGAATGTCCCCAAGGTGGGTGCCATCATGAAGAACCGCAAAGAGCCATTTTCAGTCCTCTGGGCCCTTTGGGCTATGCTCCGCCCGGCGTCTTCCCGAGCTGAGAGGGAGGAGAGCGACATGGGCAGGACTTCATTTCTGCTCTGATTGCAACGCGTTCAGGTTTTGTCAGCCACGTATGATGTGGTCTACACTGCCAGGGCTTGGGGGAAAACAGACCCCCTTCGCCCTCCACTAACAAAATGAATTTGAAAACAATTCCCAGGCAGTCAGTGCCTGGACTGGCTGAGCCGCTCACCGGTCTGCCGATCTTTCTCCACACAGTAGCAGCTGTCGTAGAATTCTGTGAAGGTCGTGGCCAGCTCGTAGACATAGTCACAGAGGGTGTGTAGAAACAGGTCATCTAAGATCTTCTGTAGAATCTCAGGGAAGCGCAGAATGCAGCGGCCAAGCTTCCACTCCTTCTCATGGTCCAGGATGAGCTTGGTCTCCCGCGCAGCTTTCTGGAGCATCTCTTCATCGACATTGGCCAGGCGAGAGATGGACCTGCAACACCAGGCAACACCCAGTTTCCCTTCGGTGCGGACGGCTCTTTCCTCCGCTCAAAAGCACATACGCCAGCTACTGCCACCAGTTCCAAAGATGTTCTTAGACAAAGGCTGAAGCGGTTCAGGCCGGCTCCCTATTCGAACTGATAACATGGCCTACAGAATGTCACCTTCAGAACAGGAACAACAGGAGGGGATCACTGCCCAGAATTTAAATAAGGATGTCTGGGGGAGTATCTGCCAGAGAGAAAGGGAGAGCTTAGAGGTTCTTTTAGAAAAGAGGGAACTTGTCATTTTAAAAGCGAACCCAACACTAAAGATCTCACACGCCGCACAAGAAGCTGGACCCCACACTCCCCCGAGTGCCCACAATCACCTGATTCGAGTGAAGGCATACAACAAGTAGGCAGCCGTGTTCCCTCTGTCATCCAGCATCTTGTCAAAGGAGAAGATGTAGTCATTGAGCCGGTTATGGGAAAGATCAGCGTATTTGATACACCCATAGGCAACAGATGTCTGAGCAGCCCTCAGTTCTTCGGGGGTTAAGACCTTTGGGAAAACCATAAGGAGACTTCATTCAGAGGTGACGGCTCCTGCCTTTGGGTCACGAGCATCTCATGGACCACTTTATCCATACGCTGATACTGAGGTAGTACAATATGGGCCAAAGCTCAAAGACAGAACAATAAAACTCAGTACTACCCAGTTAAGAATATTTAAGAAACCTGATTTGGAAAATGCCAAGTATCAGTTTAAATACCACCGACCAGTATACTCTGTACACAGGAGATGCACGACAACCCCCCACCCTAACCCCACCCCACCTCCCAGTCTGACTCCCAGTGACCACGAGTTTCTGACACTAAAGTTTTATGGGTGCAGCCTGGCTGTGAATGATCCACCCTGTGTCTAGCAGCTCAATCCTTAGTGCCACGAGCTCCTAAGGAGACTATTATGAACCAATTAAGAGTTTATATTCACTTAACCCTAGGATTCTGAGGTAGCTCATTGGGAATATAATTATATAGCATAATAAAAATAAATGAGAGCCAAATAGTAATTGAAGAGTCCCTAGGTGGTACAAACTGTGAGTAGTCTTGGTTGCTAACGAAAGGGTGAGATGCTTGATGTTATACAGAAGTGCCTAGGAAGACAGACCACTGATCTACTTCTGAAGACCCTGTCTGTCCTTGCAAACCCTACGGACACACCTCGCATTGCCATGTGCCCGGCTGGGTCTGTAGCAACGGTTTGGTACTTTTTAAATGAAGGCATCAGCTGTGAAGAGCCTGAGTGGGGACCTGGCGCACGGTCAGGCACATGGGAAGGAGTATGGGTTCTCTTCCGGCTCGGGCAGGCAGACGCTCGGAGACAGCGTGCCTCGCTATGAAAAGCTGGGTAAAGTGTATTACAATGACGACACCAGGATCGGGAAGGGAAATCCCGAGAGAAGGCAAGAGAAAGGGCTTTTCCCAATCACTGTACGGCTAGGCGAGAGGGGCGAGGAGAGGAATGCAGAGAAAGAAGTGGCTTTACTAGACAGAAGAGGCCAGAGTCTGAGGCTGCCAAAGAAGTTAGGGAGTTTTCAAGAGAAGGGAATCAACTCCCCCCCACCCCCAACCCAACAACAACCTGAGATAAGAAAATTTCTTCCAATTTTCACAAGGCCAACATGCACTAGACTTGGGGGGGGAAACCAAACAGAATCTCTGTTGGGAAGCACAGAACGCCCAGTCCCACCGGTGGAAGCACTGCTTCAGGAAAGGTCGGACGAACAAAGCCCAAGACCAGCCTCTCCAGGATGAAGACGCTTAGCCAGGGAGAACACCACTTTTGGAAGATGATAACAACCTTCCGAACTCGTACAACTTTTTTACCTTATAATGCCGGGCCATCCACTAGCAACAAAGATGCTTGCTAAACAGCAAGGCGTACTGAAAGGGGTGGGGGAAGAACAAGACAACAGGACACCCAGGGGAAGAGCACAGTTATTTTACAGACTGAAGAGGTTTTAAAAAGTAAACACCACACCCACTGTAGCCAAACCAACCCTGTGAGACGCAGGAGACTAGGCCGTGGGCTCTGCGGCCATGCAGACGCGTCCCCTTCTCCCTCAGAGGGCACAGTACGGGGACGTGCAAGGAAGGCCTCTGCGTACCTTGTCTCTTTCTTTTTCCTTCAATTTGTCCATGGAGCGCTTGAGACCTTCTTCCAAAAGGTCTCTAAGCCGCACTGTTTCACCCGAACGGGTTTTAAACTTCTTCCTAACAACATTCAAAAGCCTTGATTAGATTTTGAAGTAGACCTTCCAACTCAGAAATCTTCAAAAATAAACCAGACTGCACCCCCGGCCTGTTTCACGCCTCAGTGTACTTTCCCCGAGAACCCCTCATCTAGAGGATTCTCCAGGCTTCCAACTGGCAGGCAGGGAAGGTGCCAAGAGAAGTGCTTCGGCTTTTCTCAAGGGTCTCTTATCCCTAGCTCTCAGTTCCAAGCCTCCCCTTTTCCCTCTAATCCAGTCCTTAAAGGAGAAGCACACATCTGTCCATTTGCTCATTTTCCTGGAACTCAAAGTACAGCTCACGCATGTTTCTCATGTTCAGTGGTAACGAACGTAGCCACAGATTAGAATTCGCCAAGGAACTATCACTAACAGGACATACCAGCACCCCATTCATACCCAGTCTGAGGATCTCTGGGTACTTTTTTGAGGACAGATTTATTAAACGCACAGAGATTCACAGAGCTCTATACACACAATTCTCTCTTTTTTAAAGTAAAAAATCCTCTGAGCGTATCAAGGATATGAATGAAGCACCTGCATTTTTACTTAAAACCCACACCCACTCTCCTGGACAGGCGGACTGCTCCCCAGGGTTTCTAGACTGTCCACCCTTCTGGGAGCAGCTGCCTCCTCTTCCTCTGCCAGCTGGTGGTGGGCTCTACACCAAGCCCATGGTTAGCAGCCAATGCATAACCCACTGTGCTACTACCTAAGCCCCCTCCTATCTGGCACAGGCCTACCAAGATAATACTTTCTATCGCTGCTATGTACTCAGGACTTGCATTAGATTAAAGCGTTAGAAGGCCTTTCTTACTCCCCCGTGTGCCAATGACTCCTAGGCCTTTCCTCGTGCTGCTCCCTGAGTGTCTCCCAACTGCCAGGGGCCCATGGTGAAGCCACACTCACCAGAAAGCCCAGTCAAAATGTGCCGGGAGGCCGCCCTTCACGCTCATGCCCCCTGTCTATAGTCATGTAACACCTGCCTGCCTTCTGCAATGAGGGTGTGTGCACTGGCTGACTGACTCGCCTGAGCTACTTCGTGCGGTTTTCCAGAAGCATTACAACACAAACTTTGTATGACGGTCACCTGTGAGCCTGGTCACCAATCTAAGATGCCACAGTGTTTAAGGGGCATGCTGGTTACACTGCTGACTGGAAGGCATTGGATTGTGGAAAGAAGGCATGCCTCTGAAATGAAGACTACACGATATAAATATTTGCTTATAACTCCCTCTGTTTTATAAATGTTCAGTAGGAACAGACACAACAACCAAACCCCTGAGAGGGTGAGTGGTGTGCAGATGTGAATACGCATTGTATTTGAGAGGTGGACTAGCATCGTCAGGTGTGTTGAAAGCAGTCCATCCTAGGCATCAATTAGAAAAGACAATTTAATTTACACAATGCTCGAAAGAGAAATGGTTGAGCATTCTGTCTGCACTTTGCGGAGACTTGGTTACATATCTACAATTTAGTTCTGTGGGAATGGAAGTCCACTCTATAACTGTTAGGTTTATAGTCTGGCTTTCATTCAGCTTCTGTATAGACTCCCACGACAGCAGATGTAAGTGTGAACGCACTGTGAACTTTCTTAGCCCTGACACTGCATCAAATGAGACTCAGCTGCTCGCAGAGAAAGCTGGGAGGAGGCCAGCGTGGCACTGCCCTGGTCAGACTTACTTGTCTTCTCCCAGCACCACACCAAAGCCAGCGTGGGACACGCGAGTGACTTTAGGGTCATACCACCCAATCAGCTGAGCCGCAGCAAATATGGTCTGGAAGTGCATGGACTACAAAGGAAAAGAAGGAGAACATTAAAGTAGATCAATGTCAGGCTCTGCTAGTGCTTAGGGATAAAGGTTTATAAAATTCAAATCACTTACAAATGTGCGAGGCAAGTATAAATATAAAAGCTCTTTCAGTTCTGGCATGTGGGAAACAGTAATTAAGATGATCACAATCTCTATGTTCATAATGTTTAAAAGGCATGCTGATTACACGGCTAAGCAATCCTAACATACTTTTGAATGAGGTGCGTTTAAATGTGAGCAGAAGTGGAATCACATGCAAGGTTCTGAATGACATGCGTGAACGTCAGGATCACGTGCAGTGACTTGAATGAAATTCTAGCCGTGACGACACCACCATGAGTGAACAGAAAAGGGCACAGAGATGACTTCCCGTCTCGGAAGCCGCACAAGGAAGTGTTCAGGCTTGCCTTGGCCCAAGACGCATTTCCTGAACCTTAGGCTTTGGGAAAACAGCTGTTCAGTGCCGACTGACAAACCCACCGTGCTCTGTCCCTCCACTCAGAGTAAGCACATCCACCAATCTTCCAACTTACTTGTCCACTGTCCACAACATAGATAATCATGTTTGCTTTTTCCTCAAACAGCCTTTGTTTAATAGCAGCTAGGTCGGATGTATCATAGGTATAACCGCCATCGGACTTGACTATGGTTAATGGTACAGAACACCCTGGGACAAACACAATCTTTCTGCCATCGTCCACTTGCACGAGTCCTGGGGGGGTGGGGGCGGGGGCAAAAAAACTATTAAAACAGCTCAAAGATCACTTTGAAAATTAGGTACTTTATATAAAGAAGAAAACAAACAAACAACGCCCCCCTCAAAGAACACTGAAGGAACACAAACGCTGAGCCACTCTAGGGTATTCATTAGAGCTGCTAAAAAACACGGGGCTTCTCCTCACCCCGGACTACTAGGAACCGGGGACATGGCTTTTGTCAAGTCTGTGGAGAGCCCTGGTGTTTCTGGGCTCTGGCCAGCTATCCTGGTCGCTTTGTGGACTAATGCTATGTTTCCAAACTCCTCCCAGAGTACCTCACTGAAGCCCATGTGCTCAGCAGACCCAGAACAGAGAGGGATGAATCTTTTGTCGTGGCCTCTTCTATTCATTCCAACACATAACAACCCCTTTGGGTTTTCAAGACTTTAAATCTTTACAGGAGCAGAAAGCCTCATCTTTCTCCTGTGGAGCAAACTCACTCATTCACTGCCACTGAGTCGATGCCAACTCACAGAAGCTTTATAAGATGAGGCAGAACTGTCCCTGTGAGTTTCCAAGACCATAGCTCTTCATAGGAGCAGAAAGCCCCGTCTTTCTCCCAAGCAGTGGCTGGTGGTTTCGAACTGAGGACTTGTAGTTAGTAGCCCAATTTGTAACCACGAAGGGTCCCGTGGAGCCAACTAGGGGGTTCAAAGTGCTGACCTTGGGTTAACAGCTCCGTGCATAGCCCATTACACCTTGCTTTCTCCAACAGAAGCCCTGCTGAAGTAGTGGTTGCTAGTGGTTGTGAGCTGGGCTGTGGACCACATGGCCAGCAATTCGAAACCAGCAGCAGCTCCAAGGGAGAAAGACTGGGCTTTCTACCCCAGTAAATAGTTAAAATCTCAGAAACCCACAAGGGGTTGTTCCAAGTCACTCAATGATGGCATTGAGTGTGGTTTTGTTTTTTGGTCTCTAATAGTGTTCTGAAAAAAGAAAAAAAAAAAGAGCCCAGGAAAAAACATGGTAGGATCTATCAACTGTCATGAGAAGTGGTACAATGGTTAGTGTCAGATCTCACACAGGAACCGAGCAAAGTGAGCCCAGGCTAGGGTAGACCAGGAAGCAAAGAACTGTGAAAGGCCACAGGGCTCAAGGGACAGAGAATGCAGATGGAGGAGGGATTGCATGGAATCAAACCAGGAATGTCGATTTGAGGGGGTTGGTTCCATCAGTGAAAAAGGAGCCCAAGTGAGCACCATAAATAATACAGGCAATTGATTATGTATATGTGAAAACCCTTGAGGTCATAATAATACCAAATTCCAACCAATCATTTGGTAGGTACTATGAAACTAATTCATCACTCTGAAAATCCACTAATCAAAGAAAGAAACCACGCGTTTATATGGTCTAGAATCATGCAAAGCAGTTCAGAATCATGCAAAGGCAGAGCGGCAGTTGGTACACATCTCATATTAACTGTACCCCAGTATGAACAAAGTAATTACGTGAGGAATCTCTGCACTGGTAAAGTCCAGCGACAAATGGAGAAAGAAATGGCAGACTACTACTGTTTTCTATCCTCTAATGCAGGGGTAGGACAGTCCAGCCCTCTGGCAGTCTAAGGCCCTCCAGATCACCAATCTTAGCTAACATGAGATGCCTCACCAAAGAGAAGCACTCTAGCTATCCCAATCGGGGAGAGTTCATGCGATGTTTGACCAGTGTGGCCCATGAATCATGTTGTAAATATCCCAATGGCCCTGGGCAGAAAAGAGGCTCCCAGGCCTGTTCTACTGAAATAATGATCATCAGTGGCTGCTAAAACCAGGACAGTCTGACTGGGGAAGTTAATGGACAGACCAGACTGACAATACCCTGACCTGCTGACTGTGAGCTAACGATCCTAAACAGCCACTACATACTGTGTGCCTCTACACTGACAAAACACAAAGCAGACTCTGACAGCAGGCTTTTCAGAGACACAGTCAGAGGGACTGCATGCCGCAAACTGCAATGCGAACTCTGCAAGACAATGCCCAGTGTCTTCAACGGGAAACGAGGGCGGGAAGGAAACCTAGGGACGTACGGAAATTTGAGAGAGGGCAGACAAATGTAACGTGCAGACTGGAACAAACTTAAAAAATAAATAAATAAAAAGAGTCATAGTAGGAAATTTGGACCCTGTGTGATTCTGAGTAAGTATTTGTGTGTGTGTAGTATGGCATTATGTTTGCAGGAGGTTTGCTGATACGCTAGAGATAGGTGGGAAGCTGGAGATGAAATTATAGGACCTAGTAGGAGGCACTGTGTATGGGAAGGAATAGATACAACGTGGCAGGCTAGTACTCCTAACGTTGAAGCTGGATCGTGGGGACATGGCTTTGGGGGGGAGGTGACAATATCTGCTCTTTCCACTTCTACTTAAAAATTTCCAAAGTAAAAAGTTAAAAAAAAGTAAAAGGAACAATGCCTACCTTTATCTTCAAATTCCTTTACAACATCGTTCATCCTATCTTGATAGAAGGATTCCCCCCTCTCTATTATAGAGATGTCCAATGCATCATAGATTTTATTAAACTCTAAGGGGAAAATGTGAGCAAGTTAGGAAGTGCATCAGAACTTAAAACAACCGTTTATTTCATTAGTTAAAACGTGGAAGGAAATTAAAGGCATAAAAATGCATGCAGTAGCTTAATATACAGTGATGTTTTGAAACCATGAAAGATATACTAACAAAATATGCGAATGGGACTATTACTTTTATTTTCCCCATCTACATTTTTTCTAAATGTACATGTTTATGTACATCTTATATTACATGGGGCAAAACAGACATTTCTACCTGAAGATAAAAAAAATTTTTTTGAAGACCAAATCTTGACGGCCTTTTCTCAGTGTTTCCTCCTCTGTGCCACGCACCTGTCTGTCTAGCGGAGTCCCAGTGCCACCGTCTTTTCTACAGCAGCATTCGAATACAGGTCACCACCTAGTCCTGCAAACTGCCGTCAGCAGGCTAGCAGAGCCGTGTGTTCTTGAACATTACTCTGTCCACCACGAAGTCCTGAAACTCTTTACACTAGACACGGATTTATAGGAGGGAACTTGGCAGGACAGTCCATTCCCTCCTGTCGTATATATACGCATACACCTTTGCTGGTTGTCTGTTTTATAGCTTTGACTGCTTCTATGAATAGGATCTTTTCTAAAATATTTTTCAACTAATTTTTGTTGAATTCTGAGAAAGTTAAATTTTGTGTCGCTCTGTTAAACTTTCTGATTAGGTGTTTCAGTTTTAGAATTCTAAAATTTTCTTCTAAAGGAAAATAATCTGCTCCCTTGTACTAAAAACAAACTGTCATTCAAGGTCAAGAGAAATAAAGACTCCATAAATTTATATGCAGTATTTCCTACTGTTATATAAACAAAGCCCAGAAACTTACCTTGGCGGGAAACATCACAGATAAGGTTCCAAGCTTTTAAGATATCTGGATTTTTACTCTGAAGCAGAACTACACATTGATATGCTCGCTTCTTAAATTCTTCCTCTGTATCAAACCGCTTTTTGGATTCCTGTGATTTTTTAAAAAGTACGGCTTAAAAAAAAATCCAACTCTATTTCTAGTACAGTAAGAACATAAAATTTAAGTTTATAAAAAATATATATAAATAAAATAAACAGAACCCAAATCCAGAGGAGGGAATAGTATCCGAGCTTAAATTGTGAACACCCAGTTTGCAGAAAGCTATGGATGACAGTGAGAGCCCCAAATCCATTTAACCCATGTCCCACATGGATTAAATCTCTGGCGAATCCCTCTGACCATAGTTGAGGGATGTGAACTGTTTTGCTATCACACACAGAACATTGTACAGTTGATTATGACAGATGCTATTAGGTTAAAATGTAAGACCGTATTGTTTGATCTTCCTTTAGACCCGTTTCAGTTGTTTCAGTTCTGTGCTTCCTCTGAGGTTTTTCTATGTTTTGTCTAGTCATTGTTGATTTTTCGGTTTGTTTGCTTTGTATGTTATGTGATTGTGTTTTGTACGACTTTCTGTGTATGAAAGGTAGGACCGGTAGGTCTACAGGGCGAGTTGCTGGATGGGGCATCGTAAGGGAGGATGGGGGAATGGAGAGTAAATAATGAGTGAGAAGGAAATATTCTGCAATGGATTGTAGAGATGATTGCACGAATTTTATTATGGATGATTAAGCCGCTTGATATGTGATACATAAGTCAATAAAACTGTTAAAAAAAGAAAGTTAAGAACATTGCTACACCACATGATATACCAATAAAACAAATTTAGTGAAACCATTTTTCTTGAACAACATACATTTATCGTGCTTCTCCCTCCACCTTTCCACTTCATAGATGCCTGCTACCAGGCAGGACTCTGATGTTCAAAGACTATCAATCAAAAGCTATTTTAGTTAGAGTCAGATTTTTCTGGGAGCTATTTTCTATTTTGGATATGGTCTTGGAGGAATAATTTCAGTTAAAAGAAAATTGCTTTCATTATTTTTATCTCTAATTTGAAAGCAACAGCTATTTACTACATATTAAAAAAAAGTTAACCCCACTATTCCAAACAAACCAATGATACTACTTTGGTGCACAATTCCAGACATAGCTTTGCAAATACACATAGGAGGGGGCTCCAAACTTGAATTGAAAGATGCACATTCTCTTTTTTTTTTTTGATGCACATTCTTTAAATCACTAGAAATATACATGACTTTTCCCAGAGCCCCGGGGTTGCTGCTGGGCAACCACGGTCTGTGGATTGCAGGGCTGGGTGTTCAAGCCCAGAAGCAGGGAGGCCACCTGCTGCTGTACAGACTGACCTCTGAAACCCACGATCATCATCACTGTGACTGCAATCTCTCCGTGAAAGCGGGTCATGCCTCTCTTTATTCTGGTTTGGAAGTAAGTGGTGTTTTACAAACGTTTCTCTGCACTCGTAGATCTGCCTTATCATACACCAGGCACAGAGTTCAAATGGATAATTAAACACTATCTACCAATCTCCCATCAGTGGACATTCAGTTGGTTTTCAGTTTCTCTTTAGAAAACGCAAGCTAAAACCAAACTAAAACAGGAAAATCTCTTACAAGTTTTTTTGACACTTAGGAATCCTAGTCCTGCAAAGTTGTCTACTTCAGAAATTAATTTTTAGAAGGAAAAAAACCCCTGTATGCTCAAAGTTTTTACAAAATAGATAAAATTTGGCAAAAATGAAATAAACGAGGGGGGTACAATGATTCAAACGTTGCTGAGCCACCCCACACAGCAACATGAAAACACTGACAGTAAAAGGGTAAGTAAGGCCAACAAAAAAGGAAGAAGCAAATCCCCTTACAATACGCACACAGCAACTCTGCCCACAATTATGTCAAGGAGTAGAGTGTGGAAAATCTATATAAATGGTAGGTGGTCCATTTCTCTTTTTAAAAAACGACTCTTACGTAACATTTTCAGAATACATAAAACAGAAAGGGGAAAACAAGCATCAAAAAATTAAAATGCTAAAAAGTATTAAAAAACTAAAACAACAAAACCCTAACTTCACTTAACAATAGGGGATATGGTAGAATTTTTAGCATACAGCAATACAGAAAACAAAGAAGACAGGTGTGTGTGCAGTGCTGCTCCCACACATAATAAAATACAATGTGTGCAGGAATAGGTGCAAATCCAGTTTAAACTCAAGAAAGTGTCATTCCTGTTGAGAATAGGTTCTGAGCAGACAACAGCCTTTGGCAGATGAACAACTTGTATTCAATCCAACAGTAGCTTTAAATATCATGATGAGCTCCTTAAGGGCAATATATAACGATGGTGAATGGTAAGCACTCAAATGAGTTAATAAGAAGCAGTTTATTATACCTTATAAAAGGCCTGGAGATCCCCAATAGGCGGTGAAACCGTTAGATAATCGGGAAATCTGTCTTGCAGGTGAGCGATGAGCATGCCAAATTGCGTCCCCCAATCTCCTACATGGTTCAATCTAAAGAACACAGAATCTTTTAACAAGTGATACTATGCTTAAGGGGCAGAGCCATCAACTGTGATTCACTTCTCGGTGTAGCTAATTGTCGGCTGAAGCCATGGTTGCTATCACCAGTTTTATGGAAATTTAACTTTTAAACCAATCACCTTAGTGTAAAGTAGACCAGTAGTTCCTAAGTGTCAACGGACATTTTTCAAATATAAGTGGGCTTTGAAAAATGTGTGGAAAAATCCCATTATCTTTTCATTTCATTTTCCTAAGAACCTTTTGAAGTTCCCTCATATAAGTCAATCCAACCACTTCTCATCCCTCTCTGATTTTATCCAATCCCACAACACCAGGTCATCTCTCAACGGAGTTACTGTGATGTTGTGAGGTGCCAGCGAGCTGGTTCCCACCCACTGAGACCCTACACACGACCACACAAAACACGGGCACCATCCTCTCATTGTTCCACTGCTGCAGCCACTGTGTCCATCCATCTCCTTGAGGGCCTTCCTCTTTTCCCGCCCCTCCACTTTACCAAACGTGAGGTTCTTCTACACCATGATGTTCTTTCACAGGGGTCGCCCGATTCATCACAGCAGCAAAATCAGTTATGAAGTATCAATAAAATAATGTTATGGTTGGGGGCCACCACAACATGAGGAACTATATTAAAGGGTCGTGGCATTAGGAAGGCTGAGAACCACTGTTCTACAGGGACTGGATAGCCTCAGGAAATTCTGAGAGATTCCCTTCTTTGGCATTAGATCACATTGTCCAACTCATTAAGGTTTTCTAAAGGTTTCCGATTATAGTTAAAACAATATCTCAATCTTCTTTGGTGGCCTATAAAGCCCACTACAATAGACTTGTCTACCTCCGTCTCTAACAGAAAAGACCAGAGTATAGACCCTTGTTTTACAGGAGGCATTCAATGAACAGTTGTGGAATAAACGGGAAGCCTTTCCGTGGTACATCCACACAGAATCTAAGAGGGGCCACGATATTATTCATTTAAAATGTTTTCTGGGTGATTATGAAGCAGAACCAAGTTTATGCACCACTCTAAGATATCCGATGAAACGGGCTGCTTCGTTTTCTACAGAAACCTCTACACAAAAGCAGGACTTGGGCACCTGAGCACGCTGTATCCTGCAAACTCAAAGAGGCGGCACATGCTCTCCCCGATGATGGTGGACCTGAGGTGGCCCACGTGCATCTCTTTAGCGATGTTGGGGGAGGAGAAGTCAATTATAACCTGGGGAGACAGCAAAATAAGAGCGTTTTAAAAAGAGGTTAGATTTTGTGCTACCATGTACATTCTTTAATAAAACACCGATTTCAGCCAAAAATTGGTGTGGGTTGTAATTCAACTGTGGTAGATGTTCAGATTCATCTTCCAGTACATTAACTGAAAAATTATCACATTACCTTTTAATTCCACTTTTTCACGAACTTTTAAAAAACCCTCTCATACAACAAGCAAGACCCAGGAGAAAGGTTACATTTCAGTTATGCTCATCAAATAGTAACAATTCATTTTCAATCTAAAAGAGTGAAAATTATTACCAGTTACAGTACTTCCAGTTACAGGACTTTCCTGTATAACTTCTAAAGTACTACTATTTCAAATAGAAGGTTGCAAGTTTACCTTTTTATTCTCTCCAAGCGCAGGTAGTTGAACTCCATTCACCAGAAGACTGGTCAGCTGTTCTGACACAAAATCCTTCCGTAAGTGGACATTGATAAAGCCTAATGACAGCCAAAGAGAGAAGCTATTAGACAGCACTCCCTCTCGGGGTCCAGAGTGCTCGCCTGGCTCCGGCAAAACTTCAGGACTGCAATAGCGCAGGTGGGCAGTTCAGCACATAACCGCGGTCCACTTTCCGGAAAGCGTCCTCCTGCACTCAAGGCCCTTTCTCGTTCAGAACTGTGCCTGTCTCTCCACAGAAAACAGAAGCCCTTTGTCTGGGATTATCTGCCAGGAGCTCTCCTTTTTCCGCTGGGTGGAAAACTAAATCACCGGGAGGGAAAGCAATTAACCCAGGGCCGGGAAGCTATGAGGTAGCTGAGAAACAGTCATAGAGTTAGGAAACCTCCAACTCAGAATCCAAGGTGCCGTCACCAGCTTGCTCTAAACTGGTTTTGACATAAGCTGAACCTCTCAAGTTGTCATTATTGCTGCCTTTTATTATCAGAATCTATATAAATGCAATTTTTATTGGCAGTGTTGGTGTTGTAATGAAGTAAAAGCTGTAATGGACGTTGGGCATGTGCTCAAAACCAGTGTCAAACATTGCTGGGGTTGAACCCTGCCCTCACGTTTCTCTCCATGATGACTCCAGACCGGCCCATCCCAACTAGATGGAAGTGTTTTCACCAGAGAACCCCACCCTGAGCACCCACTAGTGAACATCTGAAAATAATCATATCACCAAGTCACACGATACAACATTGTATATAGTACACACTATAACAATGAAATACACAAAATCAGAACAAACACCTAGCTTGTTGTAAGTGCAATTTCTGTTGATTCATATGCATTCTAAGTTTACCTACATACAAGTTTTTATCCTATATCTACTTTTTTAAACAAGTATTTAAATTTAAAAAAAATTTTTAAGTTTTTTAAAGGAACCAGCAAGACTACAACTACAGAAGAAGGAAAATATTGTATCATACCAGGACCAGCAATTTCAACTTTTTCTATATATCCATTACTTGGAAGGTGCTTGGTGATATTTTCAGCAATTTCTCTTGGATTAACTTTCTGCTCCTTGGCTTTGAGCATCTACAACACAATTTAAAAACAATCCATTACCTAGCAGGTCTTAGCAAATTACTTGTCCAAGTTTGAAAGCTGCAATATTCTAATCTGGGGGATAAAGACCAGCTGTCCCTGAGCCTATTCTGACCATAGCAACCCTGCTGAACAAAGAACTGTCTCACAGTGTATCCAAGACTGCAGACTTTACAGAAGTTGGGGCATAGATGGTGCTTTTACAATACCTGCCGATGAATTACGGTGCCAGTGAAGGACACTAAACATACCACGGCCAGAGAATGACCGAAGCTGCCCCCGGAGAAGTATGGATAGAATGTGCCTTAGAAGTGAGGCTCGGTGAGACCTCATCTTAAATACTTTGGAGAAATTATTAAGAGGGACCGTTTCTTGGAGAAGGACATCATGCTTGGGCAAGTGGAGAGTGAGTGAAGAAAACGGGAAGATCCCCACTAAGGCATTCACATGCTGACCGCAACGATGGGCTCTGACATGGCTGTGACCGTGGCGACAGCGCAGGGCCAGGCAGCTATTGTCATATGTATGTGTCATATGAGACACATACACAGCGACGAGTGGTGGCTCACTCGATGGCATCTGACACCACCACGGCCCAACCCAATGCAGACACCTAACCACGGTCTAGGGAAACAATCCTTTTCAGCAAAGGAAAGGAAATGTAAACATTCAAACCAGAGGCAATTACTTAATTCTGAACTATAAAAGAGTTCTACGCGTGGCACTTCCTTTGCCGGTTTCCCAGAGTGTAACTCCTTATTGGAGTAGACAGTCTCTCATTTTTCTCCTGAGGAGCCGCTGGTGGTTTCAAACCGCTGACCTTTCATTAGCCACAGAACGAATACCCCACGACACCACCAGGGCCCCATGACCACAGTGGACAACGTCATTATAAAAAATGGAGAAATCTTTTGACTGAAAATCAGAGATGTATATCCAAACTCAAAACCACCATAAATGTCATCAAATATCTGCAAGAGAAACAATGTGAAGGAAAGCTAACACTCAGCAATAAGACATAGTGATCCTGGATAAAACAGGAGGGAAGGTGCCTACGAATCCTAATGCCCTCAACTGCTCAAAATGTTCTGATTTTATTGTGAAACAGTGGCCCTACATTAAAAATGTATAGTAAAATGGGACCAAACAAGAGTCTCCTATCTTTATATTGGTACCTAGAAATTATGCTTAGTTTAAAACAAAAATGGGAAACATACATCTTTGGGCAACAGAACAAACTTAAGACCGCTAAACAGCTCCAATGATATGTAATCACTATTATTCTATTGAGAATACATGAAAAATTTAATTGATAATTCAATATGTGTGTTTTTTAAAAATCAAAGGCATACACGCCCTTCCTGTTGAAAATGCCCTTTGCACTGAGGGTTCCGTTTGGTGCCGTTTATGTACATAAGTGGCAACGACAATGCTACTACTCAGTGAGATGGAATCTCTAATAATAACACAAAATAATACATCACCTGAGATATACCCATAGCACTGTTACACTGGTAATCCCCAAACTTGGGCTGCTGACTTGGGGTGACGACCAGAGGAGGGTTTTCCAGATCTGGATATGCAGCCTTAATGGCACAACCAAAGACCTCTTGTAGGCGGTTATTGATGTTAATCATGTTTTTAGTCGGCCTATTCCTCTCTGCTTGAAGGCTCTATCAGAAAAAAAAGAGGCATTATGTCAGTAAAGTATTACATCATCACATAAAACTTCCCCAAATACTCAGGACATTTTTCAAATGTCTTGAGAAGAGCCAGTACCTACTCAGAGAGCGATGCTCTCTTATCTGGTGTAGCATAAAACACCTCATGGTACAAGCCCATCCTACATGAGCTATAACGCAGGTGGAAAATGCCCTGCATGTATTTAGTCAGATGAGAAAGGTGAAACAGGGAGTAAACAGGGCTAACTGAATCTTAGCATAAAATCAATCCTAAATAACTTCTTTGCAAATGCTGGGAACTCAATGCACAAAACAATGCACTCTATCAGAACACTGACCTTCTTCAAAGCAAGAAACTGACAGGGGACAGTGGCAGTAGTATCAGTTTTTCAGAGATCAGAGAAAAGTTTTATATCACCGTTTAACATCTCATGTTAAGACTCCCCTACCTTTCATTTCTGATTTTCTTTAGAATGAAATACATTCCCTTATGATGGCTTTTAATTACCTTTATTATCGCACTTATTACATAAACCATTTGCCTCTTCTCTAGATTTCTGGATACAAGGATCTTGTTCATGGTTCTGTCCCTGGATGCCATATAAAAGCTTATCAAGAAATGGTGAGTGAACACTAACATGCTTTTAAAAGAGTGAAAATGAAAATAGTGCCTACACCAATCAGTTCTGTGTTAATCACAATGTCAATAACCTGCACTATCTTACACTGACAGCACCCCCTTAGTTACCAACCCCATACAAAGTTCAATTCGCATTAAGAAACATATAGTAGATAGAATAAGCTGTACTTCCTTTTGTATTTTTTCCCTTCAGAGCTCTGAGGGAAAACAGCACCAGCTGTCATTCCATTGAGCACTTGTGTATCTGAGAACTGTGCTAGAGCCGGTCCCCAGTGCTCTTTCAGAAGCTGCCCAGCTCTTCCAGCATATCAGTTAGCAGCAAATATGCTAACCACTGGACCCCCTGGGGACTTCTCGGCAAGCACTGGGCACTGAGTACTTGTTCAATGGAAAGAAATCTCACAGGGAATAAGTATAAGCAAATGCAGAATGAGATAGGCAACCAGAAATATGAGATTTCTTTTTTCAGTGAGGTTCCACAGAAAGAAATTTTGTGATGTTAGAAGATTCAAAGACAAGGCATTTAAGCACAACAGACGACCAAATTTCAAGGAGCTGAGGGAGGCAGTCTAAGATGAGTGAATGAGGTCAGCTTTGGGATAAGGATGTCATGCTAGGACAACTCACCGCAAGTAGTACACACACACACACACACACACACACACACACACACACAGAAGAACAATTATAGGTGTGAGGCAGGCACACTCTGGGTTGTGTCATCAGCAGACCTGAAAGACAGGCCAAATGACTAAAATGCCAAAGGCAGCAAGCTCATTTAATTATTTTTTGGCAAAACTGTGATACTACTTTAGGTTAAGAGGTCATTAAAAAATACAGCATAGGCTATTGGGCAGGGGGGAAGTGATGGGAAGGGGAGGTGAAGATGAAGATATTCTAAAAACATTGAGGGAAAATAAGTTAAATGTCTTCACCTTATCTGAATCCTACTGTCAAAACTTTTCAATCCATTCATTAATTATACCATTTGATAAACCCCAAAGTATTAATGTAGTTAACATTTAGCATGAGGTAGGATTTCAAGGGCCTTAACAAGAACTAAAATGGGACACCGACTTCTCCATTATTAGAACCAAGTAACGACTCAGTCATAACTTGTCTAATGCCCAGATTCCACTGGGGGTACTTCCAGAATTTTCAATGGCAACAATTTTGAGACAAAATGATTGAAGTTACAGAATAAGCCAGCGCACTCACCTTTTGAAGGATATTCAGTCGATATTTCAATTTTAAATTCTCTGCTTGTAATTGCTCCAAATTTGGAGACGCTTCTAAATAGCCACCGTTTTTCAACCTGTCAATTTCAGCAGTCAGAAGTTTAATCTCTTTCTCCTGGGAAGGAAGAGGAATTTTTGTTGGTGCAATATGACCTATGACTCTAATTACTTTAATTGGTACCATAAATTACCCTGTCACCAGGGTATGACAGATATGCTAAAACTCAAGGGCTTGTCCTTTCACAAACTGTGGTTTCTGGCCCCGCCCCCCTCATACACCGCCCCTTTGAGGCTCTTACAGATATTAGAATACCACCCTTGATAAGAAAAATCAAAGTACAGGCAGACCCTCTTTTTGAAAGTTTGCTTTTCACCACTTCACTTTGCTAACAGACCTACATCCGTACCTGTTTTGGTAAAAGAAAGACACCTGAAAAGGATTTTTGATTTAAAAAAAAAAGAAGAAAAAAGGTGAGATGCAAAACTAACATTTGTTCCACAGCAAAAGGCCCTCCACATAGCGAGGGTGGCTGGCCAAGCTCCTTTCCTGGGAACCACACCCAGCAGGAGGTCGCCATAGCTCTGAACTACATCTGCCAGAGCAATTGTAGGTTTATGTGGTTATCTGGCAGGTTATTTTTGGGGTCTGGAGATGCTAAAAAAATTCCCCACATAAACTAGTCAAGCTTCCCTTTTTGCCATTTCCAATGACGATCGGCTTCATAGGAATGCTGTCCTTACAAAGAGCAGGGGAAACCTGAATGTGTACTCGGGAGACAAACATAGGAGTATTAAGGATGTAACACATCAGTTTCCCATCCCGGGTTTCTTTCCTTGGTTCAATAAACCATCTGAATTTAGTCAGAGAGCTAGGTAAGTTTATGGGTGATCAACATAGACAGAGGTACAGTGCTTAAGCTACCCTAGGATCTGCAGTGTGAACCCACCAAAGAAGATATGCTAATTTGTCAAGACTCAAACCTATGGTGTCAAGTCAATTCTAACTCACAGTGGCACTACGGGATAGGGTAGAACACCTCATGGGGTTCTCAAGGCCCCATTTTTCTCCCCTGGAGCAACTGGTGGGTTCGAACTACAGACCTTTTGGGTAGCAGCCTAGCACTTCAACCACAGTGCAATTAGAGAGCACAGCTGTGGAATCCCTGTGGGGTGATTCCTACCCTGCCCTATCGGGGGTCACTACTGAGTTGGAACCAACAGCATCAGGCAGCCTGCTTTGATTCCCAAACCCTATGACGTCAGGCTCATTAAAAAAGCAAACGTTTTCTGTCACATCCAAATTAGCTCTGGTCTAATGCATGCCTTTGGGCTTTTCTGGAACTAGGATTTCCCCTGTTTGTATTCTAATATCCCAAACTAAAGACATGTTCATTCAGAAAGAAATGAAACTTCCAGCCTAATTGCACAATGCAAGAGGGAAGGTGATCCGTAGTTTGAACAACAGCCACAATAGGGTGCCATGAACGAACACACATTATTTTTTAGGCATGGAGCTAACCATTCTCCACGTGTTTTCTTTATAATTCTTATGATGACCCAGTGAGATGGTAATTCTATCCCCACACCGACAAGGATGTGCGGCTCATTTGTACTTTGTGACCGCTGACTCTGCAATCACGAAGTGTAAACTAGCCCAGTGATTTGGCAAATTCAAAGTCAGCAGTCACAAAGCATTAATTGGCCACGTGACTTGAAAAGTTCTGTAACTGCTCGGAGTCAGTTCCCAGGATGTGAGTACTGCAAAGTACTCTTCTGTCATCCCGCCAATGTAAGCATAGGCGATCGAGTCCACTTTCTTAAGTTGGGACTGCTGTTGCCCCAGGCAACGAAGGCAAGCCAACTCTCGTTTGTCTGCCCAGGGGCAGCACCGTGCGCTCTTTAAGAATCTTCTTGCTCCGGGTCAACAGAACGGTGGTGACGTAGCAAACCGGACACAGGTCTCGGGCTGCGATGCCTCGTGTCACACGTCCCCCTCTCGCCCGAGCCCTAAGAATGTGAGCCTGCCCAGTGTGCAGAGTGGGGGCCGTGGGGACAGCCGCACGCCAGAGACGATGGTTTGGGGGTGGGGGTGGGCGAGGGTGGGATCCTCCACTGCGCAGCAAATGACAGCCACTGGGGGTCGGAATGACCGGCTTTTCTTTTGCCACCCGTGTCCTTTCAGGCCCGTCTCCGGGCCTCGCGACCCGCGTCTGAGCGGGGCCAGGGCGGCCCTCGCCTCGCTGCCGGCACCCTCGGGGCCGGAGCCGGGGCTACCTCGTTTCCCTCCCGGCCTTCCCCCCGACCCCACGTGGCCCGACCTGCTGCAGCAGCCGCGCTGAGCACCGAGCCACCTGCCCGTCCATCCTCCCGACAGCGCCTCACAGGCTAACTGGCCGGAAGCGGAAACAGGCCGTCCTGCCCGGAAGCGGAAACCTCTTCTGTTTCAGGTCGGTCTGGTGGCTCTGCTGCCCCCTGGCGGGATCCAGGAATCACTGCGCGGAGAACCAGCGGCGAAAGTGTCACAAGAGGGGAGCGTTTGAGGTGAGGGGAGCGTTTGAGGTGAGGGAAGAGCAATTGCGAGGAATGCGATCAGAGTGGCCTTGGGCATCTGAAGCTAGATGGTCACTAGATGTCCAAACAAGGCATGGACAAGGACAGGTCATTTGGAGGCTCTGAGGGAGAATCGGTGCCATGCCTCTCTCCTAGATTCTGGTGGTCACTGGAAGTCCTTGTTGCTCCTTAGCTCGTTGGATGCACTGCCCCCTTCTGCACGTGGGTTCTCTGTGTGTCTGGGTCCAACCCCTCCCCTTTATTAGAAGAATTCCTGTCATTGAATTAGGGCCCTAGCCGACCCTAGTACAATCTCACTTTATCTTGACTCATTATATCTGCAAAGGCTATTACTTCCAAGTAATTCCACAACCCAAGGGCTGTCTGAACGAGAATTTTTAGGGGGCATTATTGAACTCAGCACGGCATCTGAAAATACTTACCGTTATTTTAATGGGTTATTTTCAAAAGTAGCAGTGGGTTATTTCCTGGCATGCTGGCCATTGCAAAAATGTTCTCAATGTATTTTCTCCAAAAGTGTAGAGGAGGAGGCTTCAAAAATTAATAGGAAAAGTCCATTGTCTTTTAATTTCTTTTTTCCATGAACTTTCTGAAGCCCCCCACCTCATGCACCCCCAAAATGGATTATATTAATTTAAAAGCATAACAACACTTTGGAGTTGAAAATTTTGCTCATCTAAGTTATGGAAAATAATTGCCATAGTAATTAGAAAAGTAATCACCAAAGTCAGTTCTGTTTATCAAATCAACCACCTCAGTTAGACTTGTGGCAGAAGTCTGATCACAGAGGAACTTGGGAGTCAAGGCTAAGATTCTAGATTGTCTTCTAAGCGCAGTGGGAGGACGAGGGACCGAAGAGGCAGCAGAGATGGTGGGTAGATTTATGACATGCATTAGAGGCAGACTTGACAGCACCAGCTGTCAATGACTGTTGTCATTGTGTACCATTGAGTCCATTCCTTCTCTTGGAGATCCCATGGATGGGATCTAAGTATGACCAGAAAACATGAAGGATGCTGGTGGGGTGAGGTTGGGGGTAGACGATTAAATCTTTGAATTTTCCGTCCGATCGCCACGTTTTAACAACCCGGGTCAACCCACTCTATTTGTCTCCATGGCGAACACGGTTTACTTCACCATCATACTGTAAATGTTTTTTACTAGTTTTTAATGTTTTCAATCATCCCATGGTAGGGGAAGCTTTGTAGTCATTACAGAACAACGTGTGGATGTGATATCCTGCTGTACATAATATAAAATAATGCAATTGACAAACATTAGAAGGTGGGTTTTTTGGCGGGGGTGGTGGGTGTGGATGTGGGGTGGGGTGAGGCAGTAGGCAGTTGGAAGCTTTTGCCTAAAGACCATGAAGAATAGCTTAAGGTTGATTACTTAACGTGGAAACCACCAGCCTGACCATGCTAATGGTGGATTTCTAAAAGTGAGGTGCCTTTTGTTTTAGATGTTGTAGTGTCTGTGAGGGAGAAAGACGAGGCGATCTGCTCCTCATAAATGTTGATCGCCTTGTAAACCTTGGGGACTACTTCTACTCTGTCCCGAAGGGTCCTGAGAGTGAGAATCAACTGGATGGCAGTGGGGAGTTGTCAGGCTTACATTTTCACCCAGATGCATTAATTACATAACAATGGAAAGCAAGTGAGTCCCAAACTCCCATACAAAGCTCCGGGTGTGCACAATGAGAGCCCTTTCTTATCCTCCTGTGCACAATCAGAAAACACACACACACACACACACACACACACACACACACACACTTCTCCAGAGAGGGCAGGACTGAGACTAAGCCCTCCCCACCCTCCCACCCCCAAAGCTTCCCTTGGTCTCCTCCTCTGCTGTCAGAGGGTGGTGAGGAAGCTACGAGGACCTATTACCTCACCACTTACCAACCGTCAGTGATGCCTCCCGGCCAGCGGGACGCACGAGCAGGACCTTGGGGGGAAAGACGAACCTGGATGGACAGAAAGACACGGAGACGTGGAGCAAGACAAATGCTGATCAAGCTCGTTTATTTGGGCAAAGTTAGGGGAATATAAAGAGGAACTGGGAGGTGCATATTCTAATAAGGTGTGCTGCACAGTATCCAATCCAACATGTATTATTATAATGAAGCATAAGAATGTTAACCAATCGGCTATCCATCATATTCTCAATATGGTATGTTTGTAGTCCAATGAGTGCTTAGTATTTCAACCAATGGGTGAAGAGTGGGGCAGATAACCAACCAAGGTCACGTGGCTGCAGAACAGTTACAGATGCACAATAGTCAAAGAACACTTCGGGGGGAGACGAGGGGTAACACAGACTGCAAACTGTCTCAGACATTTTCATAGAACAAGGAAGCTTTGGTGACTAAGATATCTTTTAAGGCATAACCACCTGCCAGTAATTTTCCACTAGGGCCGGTCACTGAAGGACCTTGAGAATGTCTGCTAGGGCCGGCTCCCAACACGTCAGCATGTCTTTCCAGCCCGGACCTTCACTAAGGCGGAGGGGCCGACTCAGACAGAAGGAAGCCAGAGTTTGGGAAGCCTGGAGAGAGCAGCAGCTTTCCTATACCCTCGCCCAGCTTGGAAAAAAGCATCTATGGGTTACAGGACAAAGGTCAACCCCAAACACCGCCACCCCCCCCAACCATTTTTTGTTTCTTCAACCACTCACTCAGTCCTCCAACAGGCCCTAGTCCAGCCGGGACTCAGTATTGGACGCTGGGCTACAGAGGAGTCCGATGAAGGACCTGCTCTAGTCTAGTCCAGTTTCTGCTAGTCTCGAGGGGAAGCAACAATGTACAAATACATGCCTAAGAAACTGGAAGACTGTATGTGTGGGCTTGTGGTGGTGGTGGCCACGATTCCCTGGCTGAAGGGCGCTGAGGAGGAATGGTTTCCACAGGTGGGACTGGGGCTGGATTTGGGATGGAGAGGGGCATTCTGGGCAGGCAAGGAAGGCTGCAGCCGAAGCCCCAAGGTCAGATTGAAGGACAGTTCTGATGTCAGCACTCTTTCTGGCCTTCTGGACCAGCACTTGGATAGAGTGGTTGTGGGTCATGCATAGCACCCTGGAGGTGTACTGGTTAAGTGCTCAGCAGAAGATGTGAACCCCTATCCACTCCACAGGGAAAGACAGGGCTGCCTGCTTCCATTAAGGTGACAGATAGCCTTCGAAACCCAAAGGGGCAGCTCTACTGTCAGTTTGACGGCAGTGGGTTAGGATTTATGGCAGAACCAGAACATTCACTGCCTGTCTTGTCTTTCCTGATGGTGATGGGAAGTGACCAAAACTTGGTGGCTGGTGTGAACGCAGAGGTCAGGCCTTGTACAAGAAATGGGATGTCACTACCACAACTCCCTCTGGCATTTTAAACTAGCTCAGTAATTCTTACACTGTACGGAGAGCAGGGGCGGGTCTCTCAGAAGTTCTAGGAGATGAAGGGGATGTCGTGGAAAACACAGATCCCATTTTTGTAATATTGTATTTGAAGGTGCACCATTGTTTTAGTAATACAAATTAGAGCAGATAGCTTTTTAAATGGGCAGAGGGGTTAAGAGACGATACGGTGGTGACTAACCGGGGGCATGCAGATCAAGGGGAAACATCAGGATGGTGTGGGTGAAGGGGGTAGGAATGCATCTCCCATATGCCCAGATGGGCCTCAGGTGCCAGCTCTCCCTGACAGCCCTCACTTCCTGGGGCCCTCTGATGGAAAGAGGGACACAGGCAATCACAAACCATGTCTAACCACCACAGCTCCTTTCCCCAGTTACTAAGAGCTCAGCTTGCTTCCCACAAGCCACTTCCCCAGGCCTCGGTTTTCCTCATCTGTCAAATGGGCCTGGCGCTTGTGCTAGCTGACCACTGAGAACCTTCCTAGATGCACTAACCCAATCTTTCCCACGTGTTTCCATCCTCATTTTCCATTTGTTCATGTCATCAGATTACTTATATTTTTAAAAACTTGATTTACTTCTTTTTTTTCTGCAAACAAGTTTTATTTAAGTAAGAGTTTCAACACATTAAATAACATGAAAACTGAAGGAGGGGGAGGGAGAGACCAGTTGTTACTTCACATGGCATTGGGCAGCTGTTGCTATGAAGCTCGCAAGTGCTACAGCTAGCTACATCCGTTTGAAATTTGTTCCCTTGTCAAAAGTTTAACGCTGATCAAAGATTCCCTCACAAAAGTTTAACGCTGATCAAAGTTTAACGCTGATCAAAGATAGGATATGTCTGGTCAAAAAGAATGAAGACCTTGGTAGCAAAACCACAAGCCCTATCACCTTACCAGAGGGAAGGGGCCGATCTCCTAAGGTCCACCCCCGTGTCCAGTTGGCCACAATACCAGGGGATCTTTCTCTTGCTACCCAAGTGTCCCGCTAGTGGCAGAACTACCTTACCTCTTCTTTCCCACTGGGGGCTGTCCAGGTGGTGGATGCCATTTTGTTAGGGCAGGGGAGTTTCTGGCCAGACATAACCATCTGATAACTTGGGGCTTTGAGCTTGGCTGGAACATGATGCTATTGTTTCAGACTGGGCACTGCCAGGCGCCTACTGCTTGACCTCTGTTTCAATGAGGGACTTCAAGACTAGAGTTACACTAGTCCAAGTTAAAAGAGGACCCCAAATGGTTACATTATACAAGTGTGAGGTTTTAAACTTGTGACAAGGGACAGAGGGAATTTTACTACTCATTGTAAGGAAATCCTTACTTAAGCTTCCATGAGCCACAAGCACTTAAACCCATGAACCTTCAGCTGGTCATCCTTAGCCAGTCCACTGTCTACAATGCAC